GTGGTGGGGGAAGGGAGGAAGGTCGTATAGGGAAGAAAGGTAAAGAAAGAGAGGAGGAAGGGAAGGATTAGACACGAGAGAGGAAGGGGGAGAGGATGAAAAGAGGTGAGAAGGGAAGGGCGATTTTATTAATCATACTGTGTATATTCCCTTGCTTTTTACTTTCGTAGATTTATGTGATCATCATTATCATCACTATCACTAGTAATGATAGAGTAATTATAATAATTAGTAATTATATTATCATTACTAATCGTTGTACTTGTAGTAGTATCAGATGCTAGTTCTAGTTATTGTTACGTCATCTCGAACGGATAGTTTTGTCGTTAATGGGCGCTAGTAGTTTGGTAATTATAATAATAATAATAATAATAATAATAATAATAATAATAATAATAATAATAATAATAATAATAATAATAATAATAATAATAATAATAATAATAATAATAATAATAATAATAATAATAATAATAATAATAATAATAATAATAATAATAATAATAATAATAATAATAATAATAATAATAATAATAATAATAATAATAATAATAATAATAATAATAATAATAATAATAATAATAATAATAATAATAATAATAATAATAATAATAATAATAATAATAATAATAATAATAATAATAATAATAATAATAATAATAATAATAATAATAATAATAATAATAATAATAATAATAATAATAATAATAATAATAATAATAATAATAATAATAATAATAATAATAATAATAATAATAATAATAATAATAATAATAATAATAATAATAATAATAATAATAATAATAATAATAATAATAATAATAATAATAATAATAATAATAATAATAATAATAATAATAATAATAATAATAATAATAATAATAATAATAATAATAATAATAATAATAATAATAATAATAATAATAATAATAATAATAATAATAATAATAATAATAATAATAATAATAATAATAATAATAATAATAATAATAATAATAATAATAATAATAATAATAATAATAATAATAATAATAATAATAATAATAATAATAATAATAATAATAATAATAATAATAATAATAATAATAATAATAATAATAATAATAATAATAATAATAATAATAATAATAATAATAATAATAATAATAATAATAATAATAATAATAATAATTATTATTATTATTATTATTATTATTATTATTATTATTATTATTATTATTATTATTATTATTATTATTATTATTATTATTATTATTATTATTATTATTATTATTATTATTATTATTATTATTATTATTATTATTATTATTATTATTATTATTATTATTATTATTATTATTATTATTATTATTATTATTATTATTATTATTATTATTATTATTATTATTATTATTATTATTATTTTGTATGTCTTTTATTACCATTGTTGTTACTATTATTGTTGATATAATTATTACTATTATATTATTATTATTATTATTATTATTATTATTATTATTATTATTTTGTATGTCTTTTATTACCATTGTTGTTACTATTATTGTTGATATAATTATTACTATTATATTATTATTATTATTATTATTATTATTATTATTATTATTATTATTATTATTATTATTATTATTATTATTATTATTATTATTATTATTATTATTAATTGATATTACTGTTATTATTAATGTTATAATAATAATTATAATAATAATAATAATAATAATTATTATTATTATTATTATTATTTTGTATGTCTTTTATTACCATTGTTGTTACTATTATTGTTGATATGATTATTACTATTATATTATTATTCTTAATATTATTATCATTAGTATCATTATATTTTTCACATCATCATTATCATCATCATCATCATCATCATCATAACCACACATTTTTTTTTTTTTTTCACTGTGAAAATATTTTAAGACATCCCTTCCGCTTACCCAAAATGGGAGAGAAATAACGAGGAAACTTACTGAGAGCTTTAAAAATAGTTAAATGGTGAAGTATTTCTTAAAATCCTTCCTAATAAAATGAAGGTCGCAAATATCCTGTAAGTGTATCTGTGTAAGTGATAATCTGCATGCATCCTGTGTGCGTGATGGGAAGGCGAACATCCTGTGTTGGCGTGGAGTTCAGGAAGGCTATTTCGCTCTTTCACTTTCTCTCGCACTCTTTCTCTCTCTCTTCTTCGTTCGTTCGTTCGTTCGGTCTTTCTTTCTTTCTTTCGCTTTTCATCTCTCTCTCTCTCTCTCTCTCTCTCTCTCTCTCTCTCTCTCTCTCTCTCTCTCTCTCTCTCTCTCTCTCTCTCTCTCTCTCTCTCTCTCTCCCTCTCTCTATCTCGTTCTTGTTCTTTCACCTTCCCTCTTCTTATTCTTGTTCCCTTTCTTTTCCTCCCTCCCCCTCCCCCCACGTCCCATACTTCCTCTTCTCTCTCCAGCCTACACCTGCCCGTGGATGAAAGTGCGAGTCATCTTAAAGGCGGGGTTTGCGTGGCGGCATGAGCAGGGGAGACGGAAAGAGAGAGAGAGATGGGGGAGTAGAGTAAAGAGAGGGAGAAGGAGAGAGATAGGGGGAGATGGAATGAAGAGAGAGAGAGGGAGGGAGAGGGAGATAGGAAGAGAGACAGAAGGAAAGAGAGAGAGGGAGAGAGAGAGGGAGAGAGAGAGGGAGAGAGAGAGGGATTGAGAGGGAGAGAGAGAGGGATTGAGAGGGAGAGAGAGAGCGAGACTGAGACGGCCCGCGTGAGGTCCCCTTCGGAGCACACCTGCCCTGGCCCTTAATTGCGTTCATTGATTACGTCGTTCACCTGGCCCTGGTCCTTGTCCCGATGCTGGGCACGCTGTCACCTGGGAACGAGGGGCGTCGCGAGGAGAGAAGGGGAGAAATTGGGGCACTAATGCGAGGGGAGGGATGAGGGGCATGGGTGGGGCACAGAGGGACAGGGGAAGGATGAGGGTGTGGCTGTGTGCGGTTGTAGGTGGATGGAGAGTGGGTATATAAGAGAAAAAGATAGAGTAGAGAAGATTGGATAAATGAGAGAGAGAGAGAGAAAGAAATAGAGGAAAGAAGGAATTTATGGAAACAGAAATGAATGAGGATAGCTATTGAGAATACACAGGTACCGAGAGAGAAAGAATCTTACATTTTAATTACAAACTACTAACTCAGCTCTTATAGAAATTGGTTCGCGAACAAAGTGCCAGAAATGGAACAAAATGACAGCGACTTTTTTTTTTTAAACAACTTTTGGACAAAAGTAAACACGAAGTTTGGCCGCTCTGTCGACAGATTAGTTGTGCTCCATTGAAACGAACTATTGGCGCGTAAACACCAGATGAAATGTTTAATCCGCAGAGATGTTTTACTTTTTTTTTTCATTTGGGACGAAAGAGAGAAGAGGGAGAAATAGTTTTGGAAGAGGGAAATAAATGAAGATGATGGTGATGAGAGTGATCATGAACGGAAAGAGGGGAGGGGGTTGGGCTGGAATGGAAAAAAGGGAAAGGAGAAGAGGAAGGAGAGGAGAGAGTAAGGGGAAGAGAGGAGAGAGGAGGATTCGGATGGGGGGGGGGGTTGAAGAGGAGGGAAGAAGATGGGAGAGAGAAGAGAGGGAATGGGTAACAGTGTGGCAAATGTAGTAATAGTTATTATAATATTAATGACATTGATGTAAAATAATATTGAGAACTATGATTATACTGATAGTAATAATAATGATGATGATGATGATGATGGTGATGATGACAATGGTATTGATAACGTTAGTAATGGTAACCGTATTAATGATGATAATAACGATAATAATTATTGTGACATCGAGTGCGATAAAAGCAAAGGAAAAAAACTTCCAGGTAATAGAATAACAACAAACAACAAAAGACAAGAAATGTAAATAAAAACACAATCAAAAGAAAGCAAGGAGTAACCCGTAACAAAACAAAACAAAACAAAACAAAAACAAAAACACAGACCCGGGTTCTTTGCCCTCTTGTTTGAACTTGTTTTCCCATACAATTCCCACCCGTGCCGTGACCCCGGGGTTGAGGGGGGGGGGCGAAGGGGGGAGTTGTAGAAGGGGGAGGGGGCTGGAAGGGGGAGAAGGAACGTAGGAAGAAGAAAGAGGAGAAGAGGAGGATGAGCAAAGGAGGATGCGAAGAGAAGGGAGGAGGATTGGGCATAAGAGGGGAGGAGGAAGGAAAAAGGGAGGGAGGAGGGGAGAGCAGAGGATGGAGGCAAGGGATGAGAAGGGAAGGGGAGGGAAGAAGAGGGAAGGGAGAGGGAAGGGAGGGAAGGGAGAGGATGTGAAGGGAGGCCTTGCTTCCTCACTCGGTAACGGGAATGTGAGCTGAACCTGCTTGTTATGACAGCGTCCCTCCCCCCTCCCCCTCCCCCCAATTTGTTAGTGGGCGTCGTTTTTGGGGGGAGGGGGGGAGAGTACTACAGGGTGACGCTTAATACTATTGTTTGTCGTTATTATTACTAATTTTGTCATTAGATCTATTGTCTTTTTTATTTCCCATCTTTGTGATTACTTATCATCGTTAACGTGTTAACATCATCTTTGTATTGCTTTGTAGTGACTGTTTTACCATCATTTTTGGTTATGTTTTTCATCATGCTTATTTTCGCGTCTGTATATGTTATGCAAATCGAGCCTGTGTGATATGCTTTGCCGTCTGTATCATCTAGCTGTATCTGGGCACATTTTGTCCCTCGGGTTGCGTAAGGCCTTTGTGTTTCTTTCTCGCCGCTTTGAGCAGTATTACGCATTATGTGTATGTAGGACGGTGTGCAAATATGCGGTGTTTTCATCCCGGGGAGTCGGGGGAACATTGGTAGTGTGTATATACGTGACTAGGCGGTTGCTGAAGATCGCAACCCCGAGACTGCTGTGCTTGTATATACGTTTCTGGAAATCCGAGTGAGCGCGCGGGCGAGCGGAGGAGGAGGCAGTCCGAGGTATTCACGCTCTCCTCCTCTCTCGCCGCCTCAAGGTTTAGCAGGTTCGGCAAGAGACGCCCGAGCGCGCGCACGGGGCTGGACCTCAGTGTCGCGGGGAGTGTGAGCATCACCGCCGTCACCGCCACGTCGCCCAGCGTTCTGCCGCCCACGCCCTCGCCCTCCGTCTACACCATCTCCACGGCGAGCCCGCCTCTGGGAAGTGCACCCGCGCCCGCACGGCTCTCCCAGGCTGTGTCCCCCTCCTCCAGGGGCGTGTTCATCTTCCCTCCCGTAGAAGGCCCTTCGCCGGCATCCCTTGCA